CCGCCACCTCCCGGGTGGCCGGGCGCGGGGAGGGCGCGGGTGCGCCGGGAGCAGCCCGCTGGGGCTGCGTGCCCACGAGACCATCCGCTGCCGAGGCCAGCAGCCTCCGCCGGGGTGCACATGAGGAGGTCCCATGGAGCGGCCATAGTCTCAATCTGGGTGCACATGAGTCACTCTGGTGGGGCGGCCACCAGCCTGGCAGGGTCTGGGTGTAGACAAGGTGATCCAGGTGCAGAGGCCACCAGCCCTACTACAGCTTGTGTTTGAATAGGGATGAGGCCCAAGTGGGCCTGGGTGTAGGTGAAGTCAAACCTGGAGAAAGCCACCAGCCTCCTCTGGCCTGCGTCTTCACAGGGAGCAGACCCCGTTGGGTCTGGGGCTGACTTGAAAGGTTGTGTGCTCTGCAAGCGCCCATGAGCAAATACTTTTGAGTCGTGAGTGCATACCACGAAGCATGCCCTCGTGTGGTGCGTACTCTGCATGTGGAAGAGAGTTCAGTTGAGATAAGTGTACAGATGCTTCTGAGGACCAAAGCTTTTGCACCAAATTGTCCACCTAAATGTCAGGAGAGGCCTGTTTCCCCCACGTTGACTCAGGTTAGGGGTGACTCCACGGTGGAAGGAAAGTGTCCTGATGACAGAACGCAGCTTCGCCCTGCCGCCAGGATGCCAGCGTGTCAGTCATGTCTCAGAGACGAATACTGAAGAGGAGTAGCCTCTTATGCTGGGGGGGTTTCTCGCTTTCTATTCCTCCCTACCCTGTGGTTTTCCCCATTTTGCCCCTAGTCATCAGAGTTTGGAGAACGGCCAAAAAAAGTGAGAGAGATTGGTGTCAGGTGACATCCAGCCGTATGCTCCTCTGTGAGGAAGAAGTGTGAGCTTGTCCACTGCAGCGCTGGTTGATCCTGGTTCGGTAGAGGTTTCCACGAGGAGGGGCGCTTGTCCTGCCCGATCTGAGCTGTCTAGAAGTCTTGGTGCTAGCCAGGAGAGCGTGCTGGGGATCCCAGCCTTTGGCACACTTGCCTGCCACACAGTCTTCACGTGTCTCCGGGTCTCCTTTGTCTTGGCAGTTTGGTAACACTTATCCGACATCCTTCCGAATTCATGAACGTCCCTCTTCATCAGCAACAAAACAAATGCACGACATTGGTGAAAAATAAAACTGCGGCGGCCGCCACCGCTTTACAATTTACATGCCCTCTGTTCACGGCCAATGCTTGCTCTGCTGCGGGGGTTTCGAGCCTCTCACAGACGCAGGTAAGGGAGGGACTTGTCGGGTGTTGCCCTTTTGTATCAAATGGATTTTATTTTTGTTAGGTCTGAAGGATTTGTTTTTTATTGAGCTTAATAATCTTTAAGATCAAAAGGGTTTATGTGGTTTGGGAACGTCTTAAAATCCTCAGTGTACATGAAGTTACTCAAATGGCATTAATACCTTTGCCCTGACTTCGGTTAGAGGGCATTTGATTTGTGGGCATGCTGATAAACTTCCTGTCGCTTCATTTTTTCCAGGGTTCTGGTAACCCATGTTCTATACTCGAAGCTGCCAAGCATCAGGACATTGGATTGCCTAGAGCATTTTCTTTCTGTTACCAGCAGGAAATTGAATCCACTAAACAGACTTTGGGCAGTAGAAACAAAGCTTTGCCTGAGCAGGTTTGGATTAAAGTAGGAGGTAAGCCATAAAGCAGAGGGAGCACTGCCCTGCTGGCTTCTTGGCCGGGAGTGGGGAGGGAGAGAGGCCGAGTATAAACATGAAGTAGTCTTTTTTTTTTTTTTTAAAGATTTATCCATTTATTTGTGAGAGAGCGAGCACGCGCACACGAGCAGGGGGAGGGGCAGAGGGAGAGAGAGAATCTCGGGCAGACTCCCTGCTGAGCACAGAGCCCACTGTGGGGCTGGATCTCAGGACCTGAGCCAAAATCAAGAGTTGGCCGCTTAGCTGACCGAGCCATCCACGCTCCCGTCAGACGTCATATTTATACTTAGCACGGAATCATTGAGTTTGGGGGCTGCTTTTTCTTACTGGTAATCTCCATAAACAGAAAAATGATAGACTTATGTAAATTTTCAGTTTCCTTCAAGTTGCTGAAAGCACTTAATAGTTGTTTTTTTGTTTCTTATTTTATATTTCGTGAGTGAGGCAGGAGTCTGAAATCTGCTAAAAGCTTTAGGAGACAATCTACAGATGGGCAAAGGATTGAGTTGGGAGCAAGAGGCCATAAGGTGATTCAGAAAGTTTTAGAAATAAAGAAACTGCTGAAGGCAAACTTTGCTCACCTTGAGAGTGAGCTCACAGTCCCTTTCTCCTTGCAAACAAATTATTTTTCAACTTAACCCGACAAAATAACACCTAGCTTTTCCAGAGCTGATGGGGGCAGGGCGGGGATGGAGTGCTGAGCTCCTCCAGCCAGTGGGTCGTTCTCCTTGTTAGGACTTTTTATTCAGAAGTATGCGCTACCATTTGCAAAGTGAAAGGTTGATAGTAACATAAACCACGTACTAACCCCTCAGCTTCAGGAACAAAATATTCCCAGCGCTGTGAATTCCCCACCATGTCTTCCTTGCAGGTCCCATTGTGGAAGTTGTGTGTAGGGACCCTTTGGCCACAGAAACTTTGGTTTTGTTTGGCGTCTCAGGAATGTACGTCACCACACATGATGGTTAGGTGCTGGCTGTTCTGGAGGTGGTGGAATTTGCCGTGTTCCTCTAGCATAAATAGGAGCTGGGATGTGATTCCTCCTTCCAGGGGCAGAATCACTTGTCAGCTGAGGGCACATTGAACCCTAAGGCACTTAGGTTTTGTCCTCTTATGAGCATGGCAGATAGAGTACCTGCTGTCACATTAGAGTAATTGTATAAAAGAAAATCTTTGGGAGAAAGTTTTGTTTTTTCCATTCTGAACATCAGAAAAATTGAACAACCTCTTGGTTTCTCTATTCATAGATGGCAGCTAACACCTGTTGATAAAAAAAGGGACTTCTGACAAGGTTCTATTGATCACATAATACTCAGAGTGTTTTAGTTATGGATTTATGTTCAGTTTTGCGGTTTGGAGCTTTGTGCTAATGGCTTGTACCAGTTACTGTAGTGGGTACAGCTCTTCCTGTTCAGTTCTGGGCCTTCCTTTGCCCATTCATGTATCTATTCTGGCTTGAAAAATGCCACAAAATACATTCAGCATTAATGGGGACAAGTTAAGTAAAATAAAAAATTAAAATACCGCTTTTTTCTTCTTTTGCAAAGAAGAAGCGCTATGTAAGCAAGCCATAAATAAGAGGAATCGGAGTAGAATACGTCAGCTGGACACAAATGTAGAACGAAGAGCCCTTGGAGAGATTCAGAACGTGGGCGAAGGCTCGACCACCACACAGGGCGCTTGGCCGCCTGCGGAGTCCTCGCAGGCAAACCTCGGGGAGCAGACCCAGAGCGGGCCCCAGGGAGGAAGGTCGCAGCGTAGGGAGAGGCACAACCGCATGGAAAGAGATAGAAGGTAATGCGTGTGATTGCTCGTCAACACGCAAGTTTACTATAGTTACTAGCAATAACAGGCAAGTCCTTCATGAAACAGTAGTTTAGTTATTTCGAAACGTGTTCAACGTGGAGAAAAGTTGGCCAGAGTAAACACTGTGTTTTGCTAGGTGGATCGGGGTCCCCAGGACCACCCCCAGGTTTGAGGATTCATTAGGAAGACTTACGGCTTTGACTGATTACAGAGAAAGGACACAGCAAACTTAGCAAAGGTGCCTGGGGAGAAGTCCAGGGAGCCAGATGCGAGCTCCCAGGTGACCTCTTCCAAGGGGCTCCCAGATGCACTCTGCTCCTGTAGCACCGGGTCCTGGGGCGGGTGAAATTGCCAGCTGGGAACGCTCATGAGAGACTCAGTGCCCCAAGATTTTATTGGCGGGTCGGGTCATGGAGGCATTTCCTACCTGGTGAGCCGCCAAACCCCAGGCCCCCAGAGGGAGAAGCAGTGCTCAGCATGAACTGCATTGTTCGTACAAACATTTTAGGCACAGTTAGGCACCTCACTAATGATGCTGGGAACCCTCCCAAGATCGTAGTTCCCCAAGGCCGTCAGGAGCCAGCCTTGTGAGTGGGGCCTCCGGGAGACAGCTGGGCTGCACACCAGGGCACCAGCTTCACTTGGTTCTTTTAAGAATGTTGGGGAAGAAAGGGTTAAAACTGTTATTTAGGTCGTTTTATCTGCAGGTTTTATTTAGAATTTATTTGGGTTTTATGTAGAACCAAAAGGTGGTTAATTTTTCTGTATTACAGCTGGGTTTTTACCTGATGTTTCCCTAACTTAATTAATGTAATTAACTTAATCATTTCCGGGGTACTTCGTCCCAGTTTCCTTTCTGTAGCACGGGGCAAGGCAGATATTCAACTCTGAAGCTCCGGTGTTGACCTGAGGCAACTTACTTCTTTCTAAGGGTTGTAGTAGTAAAGCTAGTTAGCCCGCCAGCAATCATTCTTAGACCTGTACGCACGCGCACACACGTGCACACACACACACACACACACACACTCTCTCTCTCTCTCAAACTGAAGGACGTCTGTGAACTAGGAAGGATGGCTTTCCTACCTGACATTTCATCAGTGTTTACTGGGTACCTGCCGTGGGAGAACCCTTACCCGTAGGTTGGCACCCTGCCATTCCCTAGGGTAACACTGCAGGTTCACTGCCTTGCATCTCCGTCTCTCGTCTGCGATGTAGAACTGTCTCCCGCTCAGATTGGAGATAGGTGCCCGCTGTCGCGTTTGCCTTAGGAGACCCCCACGTCTGGTCCCACGTGTGCACGTGGAAGTTGGGCAGCAGGGGTCGTGCTGCATCCGCCACTCTGTGTCAGCTCCTCTAGGACCTGGCATTACGCCGAGTGTCATCTGCGAGAGCTCACATGGTCTAATCATAAGACCCAACTTGTGATTTAAGTTCTCTCTGAAAAAAAAATATCTCTAAAAAGATTGGGCTTGGGGGTATTAGCAGAGTGTAGTCTGTGATCCTTTTTTTTTTTTTTTTAAGATTTTATTTATTTGAGAGAGAGAGAATTAGAGACAGAGAGCACGAGAGGGAAGAGGGTCAGAAGGAGAAGCAGACTCCCTGCCGAGCAGGGAGCCCGACGCGGGACTCGATCCCGGGACTCCAGGACCATGACCTGAGCCGAAGGCAGTTGCCCAGCGACTGAGCCACCCAGGCGCCCTGTAATCCTTTTTTGAACCAGGGCCCCTTTGGAGGTCAAAGCTGTGACTCTTAGCTGTGGGTCAGTTCCTTGGCACACAGAGAGCAGGGTAATAACTTGTGAGTGAAGAATGATCTACCCAGAAAAAGCGCACACACAATTTGCCTTCCAGTTTCGGGGGTTTGGCTCCGTCCCTGGTCTAGAGACTTGCTCCCGGCCCATGAGCAGGATGGTCCTGGTGGAGCGCGGCCCCGAGCGTGGGTGGCCAGGCCAGGAGTGGCGGTATTGCTTCTGCTTCTCAGCGTGATTACTTTGGATTTTGACTGTAGGCGCAGAATCCGCATTTGCTGTGATGAGTTGAATCTTTTAGTCCCGTTCTGCAATGCAGAGACGGATAAGGCGACCACCCTGCAGTGGACCACGGCGTTCCTGAAGTACATTCAGGAAAGACATGGAGATTCTCTTAAAAAGGTCAGTATTCAGGGCAGGTAGATTTTCAGAACTTTATAGATTGACAAGTGATGTTATTTTTTCCCTAAGATAGCCCCGACTGTCGTTCGTTTCCTGGAACCCAGTGTCAGATGCTGAGTTCGCTATGAGCAAAACTGCGCTCGTTAATATTGTAGCTCATCGTTTATTGAAATACTAATCACAGCCCGGGTTGGTTCACTGACACGCAGCATATGAGTGACTCAGGTATCTGCTGTCAGATTGAGCACCTGCTGTATACAGCAGGTTGTATGGGACTGGAAGGGGTTTCAGACACCTGTAAGATGTGTATTTTTTTTACCCTCTGAAGACTTTGCAAAGGGATGAAGCGAGACGAATTAAGAAGGGAGAGAGAGAGAGGCAGATAATGCAACAGTCTGGAATTCAGATGCATTCAGAAGGTGAAGAGAGACTCTTCCATGGGCAGGGCGACTGGGGACGACTTGGGGGCTCTGGGCCCAAGCACCTGGCTCCCAGTGCAGCCAGCACTGCCTTGACCCTGCCTGTCGGTTCCAGGGGCAATTCCAGTGAGCGAGCACAGCTCCCGGGGAGGGGGGTACCGAGCGCGTGGTGTGAGTGGGAGTCCAGCTGCCCTTCCTTGGGGGCTCAGAGGGAAGAACAGAGTCTCCAGGGCTCTGCCGTGGGGGGGCCTCGGCTCCAGGTACTGGCCTCAGCTTGCTGGTGGTCAGGGTGCGTGCTGGTGAGGCCATGGTGAGGCAAGCCCTGCGCACCCCGATTCGGGTCCCTGTGGAAGCCCATCGTGTGGCCGCCGCTGTGACTGTAGCACCTCTTAGGGACTGAGTCGAGGTTGGCGCATAAACATGGAAGCCTTTTACAAAGAGTCTCCTGTGTGTAGATCCCGCGGGGCCGGGAGCCGTGGGCTGTGTTTCTGGTTCCCGTTCTGTCTTGCATGGCGTTCATACCACGTGAGCTGTGCTGTCATTGTACGTGGGATCATGTTTTAAAGCAGTATTTGTGTCACGTTCCTTCTGACTGGGTCGTTTATGGTTATCCTGCAGTTACTCTGTGATGGTATTTGTTAGAGGTAAACTGTTAATAAAATAAAACTTTTATGTATATATTTGTTAAGCTTTTTATCTTAATCCCAGCCAGTTAACACAGTGTAACACTAGTTTCAGGTGTACAATATAGTGACTCGGCACTTCCGTAGGTCACCTGGTGCTCATGAGGACAAGTGCCCTCCTTCATCCCCATCCCGTTTCCCCCACCCCCACCCACCTCCACTCTGGTCACCATCAGTGTGTTTTCTAGAGTCAAGAGTCTGTTTCTTGCTTTGTTTCTCTCTTTTTCTCTTTTCCCTTCACTCCTCTGTTTTGTTTCTTAAATTCTACATATGAGTGAAACATACGATAATTCTTTCTCTACTTGACTTAGCATAATCCCCTCCAGTTCCATCCACGTCAGTGCAAATGGTAGGTATTCATCCTTTCTGATGGCTGAGTAATCTTCCCTTGTATATATGGACCACATCTCCTTTATCCATTCATCTGTTGAAGGGCATCTCGGCTCCTTCCACAGTTTGGCTATTGCGGACACTGCTGCTACGAACATTGGGGGGCAGGTGCCCCTTCTTTTCACTATCTCTGTGTTTATGGGGTAAATACCCAGTAGTGCAATTGCTGGGTCATAGGGTAGCTCTATTTTCAACTTTTTGAGGAACCTCCATACTGTTTTCCAGAGGGGTTGCACCAGCCTGCGTTCCCACCAACAGTGTAGGAGGGTTCCCCTTTCTGGGCATCTTCACCAACATCTCTCGTTTCCTGACTTGTTAATTTTAGCCATTCTGACTGGTGTGAGGTGGTATCTCATTGTGGTTTTGATTTGCATTTCCCTGATGCCGAGTGATGATGAACATTTTTTCATGTGTCTATTGGCCATCTGGATGTCATCTTTGGAGAAAAGCTTTTGTATTTTTGAAAATCATTCAATGTTTGGCTTTGTGTACCTATTAGTAGTAAGTTATTGACATCATTCAAATATGGTGAAGGCACTTACAACAAAAAAAAATCTGTTAACTGTTTTTGTATATACTCAGAGATTGAATAGGTTAAAACTTGTGGGTATTATATTTTGTATTTCATACATAAATACGGCTTGGGTGGGCACAGCAAGAGGAAAACCTCCCCGCGGAGACCCGGGACCAGTGCTGCTGCTAGGTGCTCCCCGTGGGCCGGTCCCGCCCTTCCCCAGCTGGGGCGTCTGTGCCCGAGTCTCCATCAGCCTTGGGTGTCCTGGCTTCTCGTCTTGTTGTTCTGCTCTGTTGGCTTTTGAGGGGGGGCAAGCAGAGTTAGTGGTGGTGTTTGGGGGGGCGGCAAGCGGAGTTAGTGGTGGTGTTTTTTTCTGTTGTAATTTGCTTGTATGTTGTTTTAAAAGCTTACCTTCTTTATTTTTTTAAAGATTTATTCTTTCTGACATCTGGAGTTTAAAAGCTTTTAGTCTGTTTTACACATTTTTTTTTATTATGTTGTCATCAACGAAGATGGTCTGTATAAAGAGAGTTTTTGAAAGTTTGCTGAGACTTCTGTTGTGACGTTTTCTGTGGTCGGTTTTTAAAAGTTCTGTATGTGTTTGGAAAGAATATGTATTCTCCGTTTGGTGAATTCTGTGTTTGTTAGGTTGAGATCATTAATGGCGATTCAGACTCCTCCTCTGGGACGCCTGGGTGGCTCAGTCAGTTAAGCGTCTGTCTTTGGCTCAGGTCACGATCCCAGTGTCCAGGGATCGAGTCCCGCATCGGGCTCCCGGCTCTGGGGAGAGTCTGCTTCTCCCTCTGCCCCTGGCCCTGTTTGTGCTCTCTTACACTTTCTCTCTCCCTCCTTCCTTCCCTCTCTCTCAAGTAAATAAAATCTTTAAAAGAAAAAATTCTTTTTCAAAAAACCTAGGCTCTTCTTGTCCTCTGTTGTCCAGCAGACCTGCTCCGAGAGGCACGGACGGCCTGGTGCCCTGAGCACTTCTCGGGTGCCTTGTCTGCCTGTTGTCTTCACAGCTTCCTGGCTTGGTTCCTTGACGTGCAACCGGGGCCATCGCTCTCTTTCCTATTAAGAAGAAATTCACTTTCTTTTTTTAAGTTTATTTTTACTTATGTCGGCTCCACCCTTAACGTGGGGCTCGAACTCCTGACCCCAAGGTCAAGAGTTGTACACTCTTCCTACTGAGCCAGCCAGGTGCCCCAAGAAAGATGCTTTTTATATTTGGCATTCTCCTATTTACAAATCGAACGTGAACACCTGCTTTGGCTAGATGTTCTCCCAGGGGTGTTCTGATTCGTTGTAGAACTCCCTCGAAACTCCGACATTTCACTGAGGTTTCATTGCAACAGATGCTGGTGGGGAGAGTAGGACAGTGGCCGCCGGCTTGCCTCGGGCCCGGGAGAACCCAGACCACACCCGGCTGCCCTCAGCAAAGGCGGACACCCCGCACTCACCTCGCTGTGTGCACGTTGCTCAGGTCTCTGGAGTACTTTCTTAGGTCAGAAATGACAGTTTCCTTCTTTGTGACTTTTATGTAATTATTCCCAAAGGTAAATTCTACCTTCTCAAATATAGGCAGATATTTTATTTTATTAAAGATTTTATTTATTTATTTGGGAGAGAGAGAATGAGAGAGAAAGCACATGAGAGGCGGGGGGAGGGTCAGAGGGAGAAGCAGACTCCCTGCTGAGCAGGGAGCCCGATGCGGGACTCGATCCCGGGACTCCAGGATCATGACCTGAGCCGAAGGCAGTCGCTTAGCCAACTGAGCCACCCAGGCGCCCAGGCAGATATTTTATATTTGGGCTTTTGGGTGTCAGGATACAGGAAGTTGTCAAAATGTGGCTCATCTTAAATTGCATCGAGACCCTAAAACCCTTTCTTTCAAGTTGGGGAAGAAAATTAGAGATATGTGCAGGTATAGCTCCTGAGTGCAGGTAGCAGGTACCAATGGCAGGTGGACAGGTAGTGCACTCCAGGCAATCCAGGGGTACCTAGTGCAGCACGAACTTCTTCCGTTTTTGGACAGGAATGCAGTATGAAGCCGCCACAACCCAGCAACAGAAAAACAACACAATTCAAAAACGGGCAAAGGATTTGAATACCTTTTTCCAGAGAAGATAAACAAATGGCCATCAGGTCCATGATCAGATCTCTGATCATCAGGGAAATGCAAATCCAAAGGCTATGCCGCTTCCCACCCAGTAGGTGTGGCTGTTACTGACAGATGGAACTGCAAGTCTGGGAGCAGAACACCATGCAGCTGCTGTGGAAAATCGGGTGACAGCTTTCAAAGTTAGAATTGTCACATGACCCGGCAGTTGCACTTGTGGGTAGAGACCCAGGAGGACACTTGGATGTGAACGTTCACAGCAGCCAGGACATGGAGGCCCCCTGTGTCCATCAGCAGATGAGTGGATAAGCAGAGCGTGTGCACAGACAGCGGAATATGGCTTAGCCATAAAAAGGCAGCGCTCGGCACTTGCCACAGCACGGATGCACCTGAGGATGCCAGTTACAAAAGGACAACTACTGTATGAGCCCACCTCTGTGTGGTCCCCGGAGTCGTCCCGACTCTTAGAGACAGAAAGTGGGACGGAGGGTGGGTGCTGGGGGAGGGCGAGGGTCCATGGTCCATGGGGACAGATTGTCCGTGTGGGACGATGAAGAGTCAGAAATGGTGCTGATCACACAGCATCCTGAAGGTAGTTAATGCCACTGGGTAAAACCACTTAGATAAGTGGCTAACGTGGAAAACTTCCCATTACATATTTTTTACCATAACAGAAAATCTGTAAACGTAAATTTGTTAAGAATGCTATGCTTTAAAAAAAAAAGAACTTATGGAAGTGTATCCATGCACAGACGTGGGGAGAACAGAACACTGAGCTCCCGTGTTCCTTGGGCACAAGGGAGCGTCGTCAGTACCCCCATCCTGCCTCCCTCGATGGATGGTTTAAAGCATTCCACAGATTTCTCGGTTTTACTCTCAAGGGCATCTCTAAAAATAGAAGTGTGGGGCGCCTGGGTGGCTCAGTCGTTAAGCGTCTGCCTTCGGCTCAGGTCATGATCCCAGGGTCCTGGGATCGAGCCCCACATTGGGCTCCCCGCTCAGCGGAGATCCTGCTTCTCCCTCTCCCACTCCCCCTGCTTGTGTTCCCTCTCTCGCTGTGTCTCTATCAAATAAATAAAATCTTTAGAAAATAAATAAATAAAAATAAAAAAAGTGTGGTTTAAAAGCACCATCGCATCCAGATGCCCCCGATGGGCTCACAGCAGTCTTTGTCCAGCTGACTTCCTTGACTCGGGATCCAAACGATGTCCAGCCAAACATTGGTTGGTAGCTAAACAGCTTTGATTCCACGATGGCTCCCCTCTTTTCTTCCCTGTCCTTTATCTATTGAAGAGATGGAATCCTCTGTCCTGTAGCATTTTCCACCTTGTGCATTTTGCAGGTCCCCGATCTTTGTTTCCCAGAGGCTGATGAGATCAGGCTGTCTGCTTGCACTTGCCTTCTCCTTTTGTGAGCTTGGGGCTGCCCCGTGTGCTCAGGACCGAAAACCGGGGCTTGTTAGAGTTTTTAGAGGTAGAGAGCGTGAGCAAGGGCCGCAGGGGACAGGGCTCCGCAGGAGCCAGCTTTTGGCCTTCCAGAGCCAGCCCCTGATGCCAGGCCCGCCACGGAGCACTCACCGGTGTGTGTGGGGTATACGATGGTCACGGTGTCTGCGGGGTGATGGAAAGTTCTGCAGACGGATGGTAGCGATGCTGTGGGACAGTGTGCCTGGGCTGAATGCAGCCTAGCAAACACACGTGGCGAAAATGGTATCGTAGCATGCATATTTTACTACATTGAAAAATATAAGTATGGCTGCTTGTTTTTAAATAAAGATGGCTTTATAAAAGGGACAGGCATTATGGGAATCTATTGGAAAATTAACAGTATGTGTAAATGTGACTATATGAGAAAAATGTTTGAATCCCTGTTTTTATGACATACACCCCCTTAAAAGAGGTGACATGAGTTCATGGATGACACCTTTATATATTTTGAAGTAGTTTAGCTCATAGTTTTAACCTTTGGTGTATTTTTAATTTTTTTAAATTTTATTTATTCATTTTAAGTAATCTCTATGCCCAACGTGGGGCTCGAACTCACAACCCGAGATCAAGAGCCTTCACTGACTGAGCCAGCCGGGTGTCCCCAGCCTTTTGTGTTTTTAAGATAGTTTCCAAGTCTGTAAATTCACAACATTAATGGTGGTTTCTCAACTTCAGGAATTTGAGAGTGTGTTTTGCGGTAAAACTGGCAGAAGGCTCAAGTTGACCAGACCAGACTCCTTGGTGGCGCGTCCTGCGCAGGAGAGCCTACAGAGCAGCCCAGCCATGGATGTCAAGTGACCAGAAGGGACCGCTAGTTCCCGGCAGTGGCGGCTGCTGCCCGGGGGCCCCGAGCGTCTGTGCAGCCCCGGAGCCCTGGCGGTCTGGCTCTGGGGGACGTGAGTCCAGTTGAGGGGCCTCTGTGGGGACGTTACAGCACGTTTTATAAAGATGTTTGTCTAGAACAAAATACTTAGCCATTCGTGTCCTCTTAGACCATTTGGGGATGAAGACATGTTGACAATTAGCAAGAAACTTTTCAATTATCTGCCTGATTCCATCATGTTTTCTTAACATGATAACTTCAAAAATTAACATCCTTTGTAATTTCCTTAGTCTTCCAAGGTACACCGCTTTTTACTTATTTTATTTACATTTTAAATATGCCCACTTAGCAACTGGAACAAGTTAAATTGTTCTTAATTAGAAGTAGTTTGGAAATTTTACTCCTTTGTTTTTCCCTCCCCCGTGCTGACTTCAGTCACATGGGACCGCGTTGTGAAATGCGGTCCGTGTCCAGCCCTCTTGCTGGACATTTTCCAGAGACTCCCTTTGAAGCCACTTTTGTCCATAAATGAGATATTGTCACAGTGGATTCCTTCAATGCCCTCATTTTCATATTGAGAGTCATTACTTTCTGTGTAATAAACTGTAGTGTTTGGAACTGAGGTTTTCACATGAGTGGCTTTATTTATCACAACAGGTAATAGCAGTAGACTTTCTCGCAATACAGGGTCACCTTCAATAAATACTGTTAATCGGAGACAGTCAAAAGTTTGTACACAAAAGAAGCAGGTAAATCAGACTAGACCATGTGTGGAGGGGGTACCGTACAGGAAATCCTTTATTTATCAGACTGGGGTCGCCTGGGGTCATCTGCCGTCTTACTGATTTTTAGTCCTTCCACGAGTGCTGTGTAAACAGGTTGCTATTTTAGGCCCCGAGGGATTGTATGCAACTGTGCATACGTGTGCCCTGTACCCCCTCAGGTGTGGGGTCTAGTTGGCGCCCCCGGGGCCTGTGTCTGAGGTGCGATGTGACCGCTGACGGGCGCTTGTAGATGCGCACAGAGACAACACCGGACAACAGGTCGATGAAGGACGCTCTCGGGGACCAAGTGGCCGGTCACTGCCGTGGAGGACACAAGGGGCAGGCCAGGAGGGCCGCGAGGGCCGTCGCAGATGCCACGCTGCCCCCTCCCCCACAGAGCGTGGCTGACTCCTCGTGTCCTTCCCAAGCTCCCTGCCGGCGTCGGCACCACCTTCTCACTTCCTTCGGTTGTGTTTTAGGAGCTTCTAGAACCTGATTTTTCCCCGCCACCTCCCATCACGGCTCCTTGGCAGGCCGAGGTGTCACAGATGCCGGGGGTCCCCTGAGCACCGACAGCACCGGGGAGGCCAGGATCGCCTGGAGGCCCGGGCTCACCGTGGGCCCCATCTCGGCCATCTTTGCTAACGCCAGGCACGCCTTGCGGTCCTTGAGACGGAACGGGAAGGTGAGTTAGATGTAAGAATAGAACGTCCGTTCAGCCTGCCACCCCCAGCCCTTCTGTGTAGGGGCATATTCTGCACTCTGGAAGGGCTGAGGGGAGGAGAGACCATGGGGAGAGGAGCGAGGGCAGAGGACAAGGTGGGGAGGCTGTGGAGGCCAGGGGCCTGTCCCGAGCGTAGTGGCTCGGACGTGGGCAGAGCTCATGGGAGCCGAGGGACGAAAGCGTCTCCTGTGAGCCGGGGCGGCGTCGGGGGGTGTGGAGTTGCTTGGTGAGCGGGGACAGAGGTGATTGTGGGCATGGCCTGCATGTGATCCTGGGGGGGGGCCCCCACCTCGGAGGATGGGCCCCTGAGCAGGGGGAGGCAGGGTGGGTCAGCTGAGGAGGGGCTGGAGCGTGGGTGCAGCCTGGAGGGCCAGCAGAGGAGAGGGTTTCTGGGCGCTCGGAGAGGACTGGAGCAGGGCCTCTGCTCCGCCCATGGTGCAGGGGTGCACGGAAGACCACGAGGTGACTCGCCCCTCATGTGAGGGACGGACCGCAGGGGGCAGGGGCTGGTCCTCTGTCTCCACAAAGCGTTTGTATTGGACACCAAACATTCATGATACATGTGGCCAATTCAGAGGGAATTAGGGAATTCTGCTGGACTGAACTGACCTAGATGCTAGACTGCTTTCACCGGATAGAAATTAACTGAATCTACAGGGATAGATCCTCCCGAATCTGTTCTCACTCAAACTTGTACAAAGTCATTCAGGCGGTTCCTGACTGTTCCTGACCATCTGAGAGGACTTTGCCAAGAGAAAGGCGTCATGATACATGTTCACCACCCAAACGCGGCCCCAGGTCAAGCCACAGCACATTGGGAAAGCGGCTGGTGACGGGCACCTACCCTGCAGCCCCTGGTCTCCGGCCGGCCCGTCCAGACCTGCGCCTGCCGAGCCTTTGTCTCCTCTGTCTCCTGAAGCCCCTGTGGGGAAGCACCGGACATGTGAGCACCCGGCTGGGGTTCGAGGAGGGACCACTGGCACAATGGCATGAACCCCCACGCCAGCGTGTCACCCGCCTTGTGACGGGCAGGGCGCCCATGTGGTGAGCCTTTCCCTGAAGCAAAACGCTCTCAGAAAAGTAACACGAGCGCCAGAACCAGGGAAGGGGATGGAGGCTAGTTGAGAACTGTATTTTCAAAAGGCTTAAACGCCTTCAGATCCCTACTTGAAGAAACCCGCTTGGTCTGTTGGTGGAAGACAGCAAGCCCTCACGCCTTGTGCCAGTGCCAGAGATGCTCAGAGCCCACAGCCATCTCCAAGGCCACGCGAAGCCGGCTGACCATGAACTTGGGACCGACACTGTGTCTGGGAAGACATGTCTGTCTCCAGGACTAAAATTGTTCAGCCTTGAAGTTTCTTAAAAATAAGTGCGGCACTGCTCATTCTGGAATAGCTGGACTCGAGGTATTCAAACTGCGCCTCATCGATGAAGAGAGCAAATCACAAAGTTTCCCTCAGAAACATTTTTCTTAAGCTGTTTTTCAGAAACAAAATTATTTGATCAATAAATGGGCACGGACTGGAATCCTGAGCTTTAAATCCGGAATTGGGGCCAGGAGGCCGGCCGTTGGGATGCGGGTGGGACACTGCAAACTCAGGAAGTGGGTGTCAGAGGCCGTTTGGGAAAAGCTCAGTGGCTGGGAGTTCACAGTTGTGTTAGCCACGTGGCCCGTCCGTGGGCCTGAGGATCTGGCTGGTTCCGGCTCAGTGGGGACCTGGACAGGGCGCACCCATGAGGTCATTTGGTTTCTAAATTCTACTTCGCAGTGCTTCAAAGGGAGTTCTGTTTAACTTTTGCCTTTTGCAACAGAAATGTCACGAATGTCAGTTTTTCTGAAGGCATATGCTGTTACGTGTACATGGGCTCCTGTTTGTTTATCCCTCATATTTTTATCTCCCCCAAATGCTGTTCTGACGGTATTTGTGGCACCTGGGGAGATGAAAAAGGTGTTAACTGAGCTGCGCAGGGGACGGCGGGCAGCCGACTCACCTCTAGGCCCCGGGTCTCCCAGCTCTCCGGTGGGACCACGGTATCCAGGGGGCCCTCGGGCACCAGGGTGGCCGATGGAGCCCGGCGGTCCTGGGGGGCCTGGCGGCCCAGCTGGACCAGGCCGACCTGCGGATCCAGGTGCTAAAGGCTTCCTCAGGTGAGCAGCTAACTGTGCAATTTGTTCTTTTGGAAAACAAAGATGTAAGCATTTATTCGAGGAGGATTAGCAAAAGCGTTCTGTTTGAGGCGGAAAAGATCAAGCCGCCCCTAACGCACTTTGGGGCATGGAACGGAAGTGCTGCGTTTCTCCCGTGTGCCAAGGATGGAGTCACAGGCCCAAGAGGAGGTGCTCAATTTGGGGGAGCTCCTTACAAATCCTGTGAATCAAAGTGGCCAAGAGATAGACGGCCACTTAGTTGGTAAAGGCTGGAAGGGCGCAGGTCTCGGTCCCTGCTAGTGGTTTCGCAGACATCTAGAACCCCCACCGTGCCCCTGCCTGTGTTACAGCCTGGGTGGAGGGAGCCCCCCCCCCACTGCCCCAGGTGGGGAAGGGGTGGAGGAGGCCGGGGTGTGGGTGGCCCGAGGTGTGCAGGGGTGGAGAGCACTCACCACTGAGCATCCCTCCACACAGCTCCCTGATGTGCTGCTCGCTGGCTTCTCGCCCCTGAAATTCACCCCGTGAGTCCGTCAGCAGACTGGGGGCAGGCTGGCACCCTTAGAGGCGCCCCCCCGCCCCGCCATCAGTCTCGGGAAAGTGACCAATGCCAACGAACACTGCCCTCAACAAAGGGAAAGACGTACCGGGACTCCGGGTTTCCCGGTGATGCCAGGCACGCCTTGTACCCCCGGGAAGCCCACAGGACCGGGAGGGCCCGGGAGGCCCTCGACACCGCCAGTGCCATTGGGACCCTGGATGCCCTTCGGGCCCAGCTCCCCTCGACTGCCGGACTAGAGGAAGAGAGGCCGAGGTGGGTCGGAGGCGAGCAGTGCCCAGCAGCTGCCGCCCCCCACACCCCACAGGCTGGCCTGGCGTCTCCTTGGACTGTGTTGTTGGGACGGCTGACGACCACTCACCTGTCCTTTGGGCCCGACCGGACCGCCGGGACCCTGCGAGAGAGCGGTTGTTTCGCTGTTAGTCGGGTGGGTGTTCACTGCCAAAGAGCCAGGCTAGTGCAGGGGGAGTTGGGGAGGGCGGGAAACCGCCAAGAAACCACCCTCTGACTGCTTCAGGACACGGAGTGGCGACCCCCTTTCACTCCCCTGGGTACAGTTTTCATCTCGCTGGGACTGTGTTCTATGCACGGATGTTGTGACTTATTTTCCTAAAGAGTGTTTTCAGTAACTGTTCACGTTTTGTTACATGTGTTTATTCCTTGTCTCCGTCATCATCATTCTAATAAATAAGGGATGTCTGAACATCTCTGTGCCTACAGTCCCCTTCAGCTGCGTCCTCAGGGACGTGGTCCCAGCCAGAGGGGCTCCCAGGCGGCAGGCACTGCCGCCCCCATCAGATTAACAGGGATGGGGGCCGGGGTCCCGCTGGTCAAGGTTGTCCAGGAATTTGCCAAAAGAACCCGCGCACACGCAGCCCTGAGATTATCTTGGCTACAGTCATGGGGCCCTCGGCCCGCAGCCTTGGCCTCCCTGGGGCTTCCCACACTCCCTGGATCTGCAGACTGACCCCCATCCCCAAACGGGACTCGTCCATTCTCAGCTGTTGATAAAAGTGAGGCCGACTTAATCCCACTCACCAGATCTCCTTTGTCCCCAGGAAGGCCATTGGAGCCTGCAACGCCCTGAAACAACACACCCCAAGGTCAGAGAGCTGATCCCGCCTCAAGCTGTTCTCAAAGCTCAGGCGCTGGTCCCCGGAGCCCCAGGCCCAGGGTGGGGACCTGGCAGGGACTGGCAGGATGCACTGAGCCTTTCTTGCCAAGCAGAATCTTGGGGGGCTGTAGATCGTTCTAGGTCCTCGGCCAATACAAAGAGGGCCTGGGGCCACCGGAGGTCACGGGCCCAGCCCCCAAGCCTTTCCCGAGAGAATGTACCTTCTAGAAACAGGCCTGGGGCCCAGAATCCCCTGTTACAAGGCCCCATTCCCAGGTCAGCGGGAACACAGCCTCCCTGTAAGTGGGGCTGGG